TGTTTGTGCTTTCAGTCCCGAGAATATTAAAGCTTCATCTGACGCAGAACCGGTGGGCTAGCCAGAACCACCGGGTTTGAGGCCTCCGCTGTGGGTAGGGCCGCGCATGTGCTCATGAAGTATTAAACGTTCGCGTTTCGTCTCGTGAATGAGGTAGACAACTTTTCATGTAAAAAAAGAATATTTCGCAAAAAGCTGCTATAAATTAGCTTAAGCTTTGTGAAGTTTTTAATTTGTTTCTAATTTAGCCCTTAAAATATCAATTAAAAGTACTTAAAAGTACTCGAGCTGCTTATTAAATTAAAGCGAATGCCCGGACACTTAGACATCACGGGTGAAAGCGCTCGTCGCAATTTTTTGTGGCAACCCTATTCAATTATCGTTAGTGGAAATTTATTGAAATGCTGGTCTACGGTTCATATCGAGTACCATCATCGTCATAATGCCATTCCATATGGTAAAAAGCACGATTCCCATAGATCACTGCAGTTACCGTTTAAGATAACAATGGATAATGGAGACGATAGCTTACGTGTATTCCCATTCTTTCCACCGGTGACTCGATATCCATTCGAATATATTAAGATTCGGTTAAGTTTGAATCCAAATAACGCCAGTGGTTCTGCAGTGGAAATCTTTGCAATTTAAATCATTGTTTGCAATATATTATATGTATACAAAAGGAAATAATTAAAATAAATAAATGTCTTGAAGCTTGTTAAAACTATTTTGGATGTATTTTTCATTTGCATTTAGAGTTTTCTGCGTCATGGCAATTATATTTTTATGCAATGCTAAGTTTAAAAATGTATGCAAATTATACACTTCCTTGTGTCCATATGAATCTATTACTGGCTAACATAGCGGTAGTGTATCATCATCCTATATATATAGGTATATATGTAACATATAAGTGTATATACACATGCAACTGATATCAGAGCGCAGAGTCGGTTCTGTTTCTTTATTAAAGGCTATACATTAGACTTTCACGCCCGGTTTCTGAAACACTGATCATCGTAGATGTCAACTAATCAGCTGTCAAATGGTTTTCAAATTTGATTTTAGTTGCCAAAAGGATGGTTAAACTCCTTGTATTGATTGTTCTGATCATTAGAAGATCATTTTGGTCAATTAAGCGAGTTTAACCGTCCTTTTGGCAACTAAAATGAAATTTGAAAAGCCATTTGACGGCTAATTAGTTGACATCTACGATGATCAGTGTTTCAGAAACCTGGGGTTAGTGTTTCTGCCTTTTTTTACCTCCTTTTACAACTGTAATATTTTGTACTATAATTTTTCTACGCTGTAACATTAATTGGGTGAAGGTTTATAGAAATATATGTATATTTTGCAGTAATAATTGCCTTACACCAATACGGTACCCCATTAACGAAATCCTTGTAGGGATGTCAGACAGTTAGCAGTAAATACGCATTCTCTTTTGTATAACGGTCGCAGCATACAATAGGACAATGCAAGGACGAATTTCATTCGGGCCATTAAATTGCTATTAGTGTTAATACCATACAATTTGCTCTCATAGTGCCATGCTTTAAATTCACAGCGATTAAGTTCAAATTTGCATGACGAAATTCAATGCATTTAATAAATTATTATAAAGAGATTGTCGCACACAGTAGTACGGTTGACAAATGCCAAGTGACGTCTTAGGACTATTTAGTTGCATTTAATATGACTGTCTACCATTTATAGGTCTAATTAAATAAGAAGAATTAATTAAAATTTCCACTCCGTCTCAGAGGCGATAGCTTTGGGTCACTACTTGTGTCAGCTATTAGCAATGAAAGCCTTTTGTTAACAAATTCACCAAAATACTAAGTAAAAACGTAAAATTTTGTTTATGTCAAAACTTTTCAAGCGAGCAGTAGCTAAGCGATAACAGCTAACTATTGACTTTTGAAACACGCTCGGTTTCTAAAACACTGATCATCGTAGAAATTAACTAATCAGCTGTCAAATGGCTTCCCAGATGTCATTAGAGTTGTTAAAAGGATGGTTAAATAAGTAAAAGTTGATCAGAACGATCAGAATGATCGATTCAAACGGTTTAAGGTTACAGAAATGAGCCAACCTTTAAGTAAATAGTACCTGGAGGAGTTTTTTTTTTTGGAAAATAAAAAAAAAAAATAAAAATAAAGAAAATGATTGGTATAGAAAAAAAATTAAAAACAAAATAAGCGTGTAAATGAGCGTGATGAGAACCGCGGCCGTCTGTTTTGGGGCCGCCCGATTACCGACCAAGCTATCGTAAAATTTCTTTTTGCGTTGAAATTTACTGTCATATTCGAATGATATTTTTCATTCTCTGAAAATAGGGATAAAAGGTTATTTTATAAAATTGAAACATAGCTAGATCGATTGTTCACATACCAAATTTCATGAAAATCGCTGGAGCCGTTTCCGAGATTCCGATTATATATATATATATATATATATATACAAGAATTGTGCGTTTAAACGATAAGATAGTACATCAACTTAACGTGGGACTTTTGTGAACCCGTGGTGCTTCCCCGGACGGACTTGCCTATTGAAGCAGCAGTGTGAGGCCGGGGTTCTTCCCTGAATGAGCTTCCATTCATGCATCAGCAGAAGCTGCTGCGAAGCCCGCAGCCACAGTGAACTATACGAACATAGCACATTGTTATATCCAAGTATTTTTACCACACTTTTAATTCGCGCAACATTAACTACATCCGATTTGTTAGACCGCCAATCTTTAGTACATCGACTACTACCAAGTATATATTCTTTTCATATTTTTATATTTAAATTATTGGTGTATTTTCATTTAACATCAGTTGAATATACAATAGTAGGCTATTCAATTGGTCTTGAACTTCCTCTGTAATCTGACGAAAAAGCTGGCTGTTTATTTTACGACTCAAAATAATGCAAATCACTGCGAGTTTACTTATGACCTAGAATTTTCTGTCAGTTTTAAACACGCAACTACTTTGTGGTACACCTTTTTTTTTGTATCGGTGGGGGGGGGGGAATACCCTGTTATAACACGGGTTGTGTGGGGTTCGTACCCACTAAAACCCCCTCGGTGGCCACCTTCTGTAAGATTGTAAGGACTCCGGGATCTCTTACGGAACGCACCGGTGTCCCTCAGTACAGCGCGTGAGCACGCCTCGGAGAAGGATAAGCCTTCCCCGATTCCCTCAACGTCTTGCAGCACGAGACCACTTCGTCCTGCTGTCAATCCGTGTCCCCTTTTAGTCGCCTTTTACGGTAGGCAGGAGATAACTTAGCTCTATTCTATGAGCCCGAGACTACAGGGCTGAACTTTGTGGTACACCTACGTCCATTATTTAGACTGTTTCATTTCTATATTGTTGATTTTTCTTCTCGTTATTACGAAAAGGCTTCAATTCATGTCCATACTAATATTATAAATGCAAAAGTAACTCTGTCTGTCAGTCTCGCTTTCACGCCAAAACTACTGAACCGATTTAAATGAAATTTGGTACACAGAAAGTATAGAGCCCGAGAAAGGACATAGGCAATTTTTTAATTGGAAAAAGTGTTGTAAAGGGTTGAAAGGTTAAAAAAAGATATTTATTTAAGGACTTCAACGCGAGCGAAGCCGCGGGCGAAAAGCTAGTATATAATAAATTTAACAAGTAAGCATACCGAGTTCAATATGAGCTACCTCATCGATCGGTCATAATTTCTAAATCGATTCTTTTCCGATTGCATCTGTTAATACTTCGGCGCATTGTACTCCGGGGTACAGACCACAACAAACGATTGTTGACCCAAGATCATATCGATTCTCGTCGCGATCTTTATGGACCATTGTTACCCGGTGGCAGGATGCGCATTGAGATGAAAAGTTGAGAAAAAAAATAACATAAAAGAATGACGCAACCGCGATACAGCGGTTTAATAGCGCGTAATACAACTTCGAGATCTTTGTTACTCACTATTCTGAATGGGAGTATAATTTTTTTTTACACTTCATCTTTTATTCAGTTTAGACTATCAAGAATATATTACGTATTTCTATAGCACCTTAGTTCGTGTAAAAGGACTAGAATTAGAGTATACTGAATTAATAGCGAGCGAATGGAGATAGAAGATATATTAAATATGTTAAAATATACGCTCAATATTACAATCATCATTTAGTCAAATATATACGTAGATACAAGGAATGCGTATTTTCTTATACAAAATATACGAATAGCTTTCTATAATGATAATGGTCGAGAAAATTCAATTTGTTTTCACCTGTGCTTATTTGGAGCAACGTGACAGGTGATTCGATACACATTAAAGACCCGCTAAATGGGAAGTTTTTTTTTAAATGGCAGTAAAACAAAGACTACTACTGACGTGTAACATGTAAGATTTTGGATTAATGTTAACATTTCCAAATATTGTCAAAGAGCCAGAGAAAAAAAAATATCTACACGCTTTACAAAAATTATTATTGTTTGCCAGTCGACGTTAATCACCATTGTTTATAATTTAGGGTACTTATTATATTGAGATTCTTTTATTACGTTACTCCTACTCAGTTCATGCATTTTTAAAAAGAATTTAAAATTAATCAGAAACGTTTGAATTCTAAATTGTCACTCAAAAATATTTGTAACTATTACAGATAAATTGAATATTACCGCGACATTTCATAAATTGTTAGTATAATATTAAATATTCATCTTATTATAATATTTTATTTTATCAGCTGTTATATTGTTCATCATCAATCACCAAGAGCACGGAACATGTCTTTGGTATACACAATACATCAAAGCTATCTTTACGTTTTCTTATCTGTTGTACATTACGCATGCTATTACCGCCGAAAACCCTTAGCGAAGGCTTCTTTCATTATATACTTAATGCCATCGAACCAATAATTATTGGCGTCTCAACTCCCAAGACAGCTGCATAGCATCGCATTGAGCCCGCAACAGGCGCGTCCCATTTTCGAAGTGATCGAAACACAAGGAAAGCACCAGATGCGGCCGGCAGGTACCAAAGCAGCCAGCATCATGTTGCAAATTGTGTTAGCCGGCCGATTTGCGGAGGCCGCGAGCCGGTACGCCGACGAGGGCGTGCGTCGCGCTTCTGAAAACGGCCGCGCAGCACCGAAAACCACAGCGGTGTCGCGACAGATGCGAGGCACCGGCACGGGAAGCCCAACAAAAAGCGAGCACGTGCTGCAGAAAAAGTGGCATGCGGGCACAAGTTGCCTTTTCATATTGCACCTTTAGACGAAAAAAAAATCCGTACGTGATTTTTAGCATAGAAACGTTGTGGAGTAGAGTTTGTGTGCGCTTTTCGGTCGCTTATTTTTTCGTACCGGCACATGATGTCGTATCATAAATTTAGATTATTAAAATTAACGAGATTGAATTAATTAATAAATACGCTTGTACATCTCCCTGTCTCTTTTTAATGATTACTTAGTAAAAAATCTTTTCATACGATGGGGGATTACCTACTGTTTAAAATTTCGATTACTCTGTGAAATTTTTGTTTGTAAAACGTCCTTACGACACAGGATAATGTTATCCCAAAGTAAGGGCTATGTTTTAAAAAAAAATGATAATTCCGTTTTGTAGAGCCGTTGGAAAACAAATTTTTCATGGAGAAATAGCCAAATTCAAAAAGCAACCGAGTTTAGTATCTAATTGAATAACCTACAGGTAGTAGGTTATTCAATTACTTCTATTATATAATATGATTCTCGAGTGAGAATCAAACCCATGACCTGCGGTGTCTAGCTGTGAATGTCTGAGTCAGTATAGTTTACGTAGGCGTCTGATTTTTAATATATAAAAGAAATTTGCAACTTACTGGCCAGTGATAGATAATTTTACGTTTCTTTTACTCATTTAAGTATGAAGCCGTTACCATATCAGATTAAAATTAATTATAATTAATTATAGTATTGAGTATCTTTGGAGCATCAATTTGTACTAGCGAGATTTTAATTTACGCAAGACCATTTTGTGGGCATTCACGAATATAAAGCCGCGAAAGGAAGGCTAAGAGAAGCAGAACATGCATTTAGGTCGGCATAGAGTTATGTAACTCTGTTTTGTAATGAAGTTCCTCGGATACCTTAGCCGAAATCACGCTCTCCGATACCTTCGATTAACTCGCCGTTTGCTCGCCAGACTATATAAGGATCATTAAAAATGGATCACCGCTGTAAAGTATAGTAATATCATCCGCAATGCCCGCGGAAACAGATATTGATTGAAATAAATGAAGAATCTAGATATAAATGAAAGAGATAAGTTGGTTCGAATATTAAAATCAAATGTGAATGTGAATAGAAAGTCCTGAATCATATTTTTTTACGTTAATTTTATAAAATTAGCAAGGGGTTCACCTGATGTTAAGTGACTACCGCCGCCCACGGACACCTGCAACAATTGAGGGCATGCAGATGCGTTGACAACCTTTAAAGACATTATCTGTCCCGGCTACCTCACTCACCAGACGAAACACGAAATAACTTATACTTCTGCCTCGTCTGTGTGGTCGTGGTACTTCCAGGGACGAGCCTGCCCATTCGTGCAACAGTCGAAGCTGTTAGTCCCTACCACAGTTTAATAATCTAGAAAGAAGAATCGAGTTAATTTATAGTAATCTAAACATTATCTAATAGGTTATGATACATATCGACAAACCTCGAAATACCACCATCTATGTGCTTTTCACAAATGTTCGATTGCTTTTTCTCTGCATAGGTATATTGAACCTAGACTAGTCCCTTGTCAAAGGCATATCACATCTGCAACTTAACTAGTGTTTCGAATGTTTACAAGCAGCAATGATCACTTCCCGACACGTGAGTTTCCTTATTTTTGGCACCTTTTATATAACAAATGAACTAATCTCAAAATATGCTATTGCGTGAGTGAACTTGTGAGTGTGTCCCAATGGCATTGGTGATAAATGCTCTCCACGGCAATGTTCACTATTATTCATCAGCGTCACAATTAATTATCAGAGAGTGAATCACGACCATTTAAATCATGTAACAATTCATGTCGTTGGTAGTATGTATTATTAATAATTTGAAAATTAACTAAACCTGAGCCGTACACAAACGCCACTATAGTCATACAAAAGAAGACTAAGCGGATTAATTTAAAAGAGCCGCGCATTCCGATGCTAATTATCATACTTAATGTTATATGAACTTCAAAAGTTAACAGTGCTTAATTGGACCTCATTATAAACCGAACTGTATTTTCGTAATAAAGGGTTAGTAGTAATTAAGATGGAGCGTTTATAATCAGTGTATCGTTAAAATATTATCACATAATAATCGACTCCATCATCGTTAGTCTGAAGTTATCATCCGATAAGTTTTGATCTTTATACGGAAGCGGTTCTTCTCAGTGACTAGTTAAATACGCATGTGTCTCCTTGTGTGGCGACCACCCACCATCGCCAGATCACCGCTATCAGCTACCACTATCACGTGTTTGTAAACAAAGGGTTGCACTCAACCCCTATTAGATACAAAGCGCCGATAGTTTTGTCGTTAAGTGGCGAATCTCTCGATGTGGGTTTTTATATTCCGGGGCTCTCACTTGTGTGTCATTTTACAATGATGCTTTTGTACAGCGAACTTTGGTTTATTACCCGGATGTAATCAGATGTAATCATCAGGGCCATGAAATATATGAAAGACACTATCGTTCACACAATATTTCGCCACCAACCATTTTATAGACATTATAAGACAAGCCAGAATTATAAGATGTAAAATGTGAGATACAGCCGCCTAATGCGGAGAGAACTCGCTTGCCCAAACTATCGGGCAATAAGCTACAGATGTTAATCGATAAAAGCAAGCAAGCTTTGCAAGGACTGAGATTGAATAAAAAGAACATTTATTTACTTTATGATTGTATGTTGTTATAATTTATTCTTATGTCATTTATAAAGTAAAGTAAAGTAACAGCCTATACATGTCCCACTGCTGGGCAAAGGCCTCCTCTATACAGAGGGTATCAGAGCATAGTCCACCACGCGGCCCCACAGCAGATTGGCGGACTTCACATATTTACGAAATACGGAGCACGTGATAAGTCAGCACTTAAAGTTAAAAACTCCATTGGTGCCGGCACCGGGGATCGAACTCAGGTTGCTCGAGTATATTGAATTAAAGACGAGCGCCCGGACACTGAGCTATCACGGCTCTATACCGGTCATTTATGAAATGCTTTCATTCACTAGAAGCATAATGGCAAGGGAGATTTTATATATGCTAAAGATTTTCATAATATCTTGAGGTGTTCCTTACGGGCGTCTATAACGCAGAAACGGCATCGACGCATCGGCATAAATTAAAACCTAAATGTAGTAATATAGATAATAAGTATTTTTAATAAAATAAATGTCAATAAAACCTTATTTTACTATATTTTGAAAGTGAAAAAAATTTTCAGATGTTTGTGACATCAAGTCGTAGTTCCAATTTGTGCATTGAACTCTTCCTTTATTTGTCATTGTTTTTGGTTGACTGAATCCAATCCTTTTCTTATTGTCACTATAATGACCTGTAATTTATCCTTTTAACAATTTAATTCCCAAGTTATGATCTACTTCACCCATCTTCTAACTGACAAGTGGTTAATTAGACCCGTCTATTTTCACTATTCGCTCGATATATGGCTTAGTGCAACAAGGTGTTAAAACGTTTCGCAATAGAGTTATATAGCCGTTTACCGCGTATGGAAATGGCGCCAGCATTCTCTAATCATCAACTTAAGATAGCGCGAAGCTAAACAGCTGCTACTGGGGATTTTAGTTTTTTATTAAATGAGAATTACATTTTACAATTACATATGCAAATTATAATACATAAAACGCTTGATGATCTCGGCTGGTGCAGCCACTATTCGAATGGCTAGGGAGACCAGGAATGTGAGTTTAATTTTGAAGTAGTTGTATGTCCTTCAGTTGGCATATCAAAATCATGTTTGGCATAACTGCTTCTTTTTCTTTTATATTAAGTACATGGTGTTGACATTGAATTGATATATGGAATTATTATAGTTATTTACACTCACTGATGCTACTGAATACGTATACAGCGTGTCGTTACCATCGCGACAATAAATGAATACACGTCTAAAGTTACTTGCCAATAATCACAAAAAAATATTAACGTTAAAAAATCCGTAATTAAAAAAATATTTTTAAAACAACCTAATAAAGTAAAAAAGAAATAAAATTTATAACATCCTATACAACTACAACTGACTGATTCATACATTCAGAGACTTTTTCATTCGTTGGCAAAGCGTCACATTACAAGCCTCTCCTTCTAACAGTATGTTTTGTCTCTTTTAAATTCATTCAACCCATTCATATGCTTTGTGACCTTTGCAAATGAACTTTACGTTACAGTTTTATACGTAATGATGTTCTAAAATTCTTTGTTTTGGAAAATTTAATAACTCTGTAAATATTGATGTTTAAAGAATGTAAACGTTTAATACAGTTTTAAAAAGTTATCCTCTATATGTGTGTTCATTTATTGTCGCGATTGTAAAGATACGCTGTATCAACAGGTTCCAAATCATTATCGTTGTGAAATTATTGGAGACAAGTTTACCTCAAGAATAAGTAGGGATGGAGAAATTTAACGGCCAATGAGGGGGCAGCTAATAATATCATCATCAGCCTGAAGACGTCCATTGTAGAACAAAGATACTAACGGCCGGTTTCTGAAACACTGATCATCGTACATGTCAACTAATCAGCTGTCAAATGGTTTTCAAATTTCATTTTAGTTGCCAAAAGGATGGTTAAACTCTTTGGATTGATCGTTCTGATCATTAGAAGATCATTCATTGGTCAATTCCGAGAGTTACACCGTCCTTTTGGCAACTAAAATGAAATTTGAAAAGCCATTTGACGGCTGATTAGTTGACATCTACGATGATCAGTGTTTCAGAAACCGGGCGTAAGGGGCATAGAATGCCACTATGAATGACACTTTGCCATTTACATACAGCCGTGCCCGCGACTCTTGCGATATTGTCGTCATTGATGAGGAAGGAAATTTTAAAATGCTTCTGTGAGCTTCTGTGATGTTTCATTAGAGTTAAGTTTTTTGTGACGTTGTTTGCATTTACCCCCGGCGGTTTGGACAACTTCGGCGGAATAGGTCCGCAGGCAGATGACCCGCGGACTCAGGAGATTAGAATAGAGTTATTTTGATGTTGGGTTAGAACCA